GCGGCTTGTCCAAAGACTTTTTTTTATCCTTGTTAAAGGGATGAAACTTTCTTTCCAGATTCAGAATATCAAACAGACAAACAGCGCACTCAAAGAAAAACTTGAAGGTGGTATAGAACAATACAGACTTCCAGAGGTAGGATCATTTTCTGACCCTTGTTTATTGCAGAGATAGATGCTAATCTGTGTTTACATACCAGGGCTGTTGGTGTTTCCAGTAAACTATGACCAATGTCCTGTTAGTTGTAGGTGTGAATCAAGACCATTACCATATTCACTGTTGCTGTGTAACAAAAATGGGAGATGAGAAGAAAGTAAGAGCAGTGTTAAACATGTGGAAGTGTTTTCTAATAGAAGTAGAGGTATCCCAGATATACCATGTTTTGTCAGTGTTGTATCCGTATGCCCTTGTGGGAGAGTTGCTTTGCTCTAAATACTGAGAAATGTAGGAGAGGATGTTAATGGCCCATCTTTCTCTTGGCACTTGGTGCTTTTGCTGTTTTCCTTCCAACTGTGGTACCTCATGCTGGAAATAATTTGACCAAGATTACGGAGAGTGTCTGTGATAAAAACAAGTAGGTGCTTTGGAAGAGTGTGGCTCTTGGTTATCTGCTCAGGGCATTCCCTATCTTCTTGTATTACCACGACTTACAGGCGTGGTGTATGTCACAGTTAACTGAATGGATGCCAAACGCAGGTCTTTGTTGAAAACATTGTTGCTACAAAAAAGGAATGATATAGTTTGACTAACAGTTAATTCCTTGAGTTTTTGTGAGGTTTTTGTGAGCTCAGGTACAAGTGAAAGTTGTTGCTTATGTAAATGAAGTTACCTAACTTTTTTGTTGATGTCTAGGTCGTTCAGAAATTTAATGCACGTTGGACCACAGATGAGCAGCTTCTTGCTGTGCAAGGTATGGCACAACAAGTCTGTACTTCAGTTGATGATAATCAAAACCCCGCTGCATTTCAGAGCTGTGTTTCCCTTCAGTGGCTAATGAAGGATTTTGACATTGCTATGTACTAATGCCCAAACAATGGAACTGAACAAAGAAAAAAATACCCCCCCTTCGCCTCCCTGAGCAATATAAATTGCACCATATGAATGTTTGCAAATAATTTCTGCTTGTCCAAGCTTTCAGAAAGTGAAACTCTACTGGAGTCACTGCTATGATCTTTGCCTGCATAACTTCTCAAGTAGTTCACACAGGTCTTCTAGATTGGCTCTGCCCATCTTTACTGTGCCTCTATTCTCCAGGGCTAGCCTTAACTGTGTCTCTTGTCCAATTTAGACCTTTTTTTTTTCTCTTTTTTGCTGGATTAATCTGGGAAAGGCTTGAAACCGTGACACAAGTTCAACTTCAGATCCTTATGCTGTGACTTGAGCCTGGTTTGTGGTCTTTGTGGAAATAACACATTACTTTTGGTTTTCTTTTTGTTGCTTTTAGCAATCAGGAAATATGGACGAGACTTTCAGGCAATCTCTGATGTGATTGGAAACAAATCTGTGGTGCAAGTGAAAAACTTTTTTGTAAATTATCGACGTCGTTTCAACATAGATGAAGTTCTACAGGAGTGGGAGGCAGAGCACGGCAAAGAGGAGACAAATGGAACCAATAGCCAGAAGCCTGTAAAATCCCCTGATAATTCCACTAAAATGTCTGAAGAGGAAGATGAGGTAAATCCAGTTTAAAAGTCACATAAAATTCCCAATCCGAGCTCAGTTCAGATAGATGCGTGTGTATATATATACTCTTTGCAAAAGCCATTTTTGACAATCTTTAATCTGAGCATATTTCACTTCCTCTGGATATACAGATTCCTTTACTGATTTTGGGAATTGGGAATTCCAGACATATATGAAAGTGGAAAGAAAACAGTTAATTTGCAGCCCTCTGACACTATGTGTATCCCATCAGCACCTCGACATTTTCATGCCTCTTGCTGCCGAAACCCCATACATCTTAATCTCACTTGGATGTTTTCCCTGCACTCAGTTCTCCAAGCTGTTCTAGGTTTGGCTTTGTGGGACTGTACAGTCTTCTGAGGCAAAGCTCACTCTTTCATTCTTGACAATGGAGTGGTTTCACTCAAGGGAAGGGAAGAAAGCTATAAACAAGGCAAGTGTGTGAAACTGTTCCCTCTGGAATTACCTAGAGACAAAGTTTCCTTGATTTTATAGCAGTTTCTGTGAAGACAGAAATTCTAGAAACAGCCTCTCCTTGATGGAGCTTCACGGACTTAACACTTCTCCAAAGAAAATGTGTGTTTAAAGTTAACTAAGAGACTGTAGGGTGTTTAAATATGAAAGTTAGTTACAAAAATGTAATATTAACACAGTCTGGCAAAAGAAAACCCTGCTAGAGTTTGTATGTTAAAAATGTCTGATCTAGAACTCCCTTTGGCCTAATTTTATAAGACAGCTTGGCACAAAAGCTGTATCTTCTAAATGCAAGCACAGTCAACAGCGTAAAGCGAATTTTGGTCTCACATGGATTAAAGAGCCTGGTTGGCTCACTTGTACGTTCCATTCAGAGAGCAGAACTTCATCAATTCACAAATCCTAATAACATGTTATTCAAAGATGCTTATATTTGGGGACTAGGTTCACTGGTATGACAGATGAACAAAACCAAACTCAAAAAGCTTGCCTTCTCAGAAGGATGAGTGAAATTGTCCCATTCTTCCAGAATTGAGAGGTGGAGCAAAGAAGCAATGGTACTAGTAAGTAGCCATCCATTTGAAAAGGTGTCTCTTGTCACTGCTTTTTCCTAAGACCAGTAGAGTTATATCTGTTGGCAGTGCAGAGCTTTTCTTCTCTGTGCCCTCTGAGATTCTTCCTGGCTTCAAATACACCCTTGCTCCTGAAAGTTAGTCAAAAAAAGGGGAGTCTCACTTGAGATAGGAGGAAAATGGTTGCAGCAGGAACTGGAGTGTGCTGATGTGGCCAAGGGTGTGGATACTGGAGCAGTGAGGATCCCAGACAAGTTAGCAGAGGAGGAGGAGGGAGAGCGGGTGCATGACAGCAAGATCTGGTGAAATGACTGGTGGGGTAGCGGTCGCAATCCCCACACTAGTGATGGAAAGTGCCCAGGCTGGAGCCAAGCAAGTGCTGAGTGGTTGAAAGGGGACCCGAATAATAGGCTGGTGGGAATAGCTGCAAAGCCTAGAGAAAAGGCAGCTATTGCGAGTCAGGCGGTTCGCTGTGCCCTGCAGTGCAGTAAGGGTTGCGGGAGAGCCTGCCTGCACCCGGCTGACACAGGCAGGAACCAGGCAGGGTGGCAGCGAGGTGCCAGCTGTGACATACCATGTATGCCTTACACTAGCACCATGTGGCTTGTGGTTCTTGATGCAGCCTATTCTGGACAGTAGGAACTGATGTGTCACAGCTGGGAGGAGGAAGGTGCTGGCAGCGTGGAGGGGATTGTAACTACCAAGTCTGCAGCTTTTTATAGAAATGCACGAGGAAGGCACACAAGGGTGTCGCACAGTGGATGCTCTCTGAGCACATCAGACGTTGCCTCTCAGCCTAGCTATAAATGTAGTTCTCCTGCCTTCAAAGGTAACATAAGCACAGTGCTGACTGGGTGCCTGTCTGAGCAGTTCTGGGGGCAAAGTGAAATGTCATTGGGATTATCACAAAAGTGGTCTATATGGGCTAGGAGAGGGGGTTCCTGGTCCCTCCTGAGCTGCGCGGTACTGTGCGGCTGGTGCCTGCTCTTGAGAGCACTTACACAGGCAGCTGGTCATTCAGGTGGACTCAGTCAGCAGTAGCCAGGAGAAGACTTTGATGGCATAATACTGAAGTCCCTTGGGTGCTTTCTCCCCTGGCACGCCTTGTCTGCCTGGCTGCCAGCCTAGCAAAAGCTTCGTCAGCCCTCTGACTGCTCTGGGCTTTCCCCTTCAGTATGTTTTCATAGCAAGTGGTCACAGTTCCTTTTTTTGGGGTTGTTTGGTTGGGGTTGTTTTGTGAAGGGGGGAGGTGAGGCTGCTGATTATAAAGCAGCCTCAACTCCAGTCTTAATTCTTGTATGTTTACACTCCCAACAAATCCCAGTGTGGCTCAGAATAGGGGAAGCCGCTGCAATTCCTCCTATGTGCCAGGGTTGTCCCATTTTGTTGCTTTCAGCACCGTGGATCTGGGGTGAAGTTTGGAGATGCAAGAGAGCCTATGTGTATTCAATTTTAAACTAAACATCTCCTTTTTCTCCCTCCTCCCCCTTCCCTCCAGGCTACTTCTGTTCTTGATGTCAGATATGCATCTGCTTCGTGAGAAGGTGCTGTAGCCTAGAACAATTTGTGTTGACTACTGTGTTATCCAGGATATCAGGTATTAGCAAACCTCAGACAGCCATCTGCATCATATCTGTGGACAAGCAGCTATTACCAAAAAAAGGCAAACGCTTCCAGTCCTGTGCTACATCTGCCTTAATCTCCCCTCATTCCTCCATACTGCCTCCACTTTCTTTCAAAAGCGCCCAGGTAGCTCAGCTCTCCATTTCATCAACGTCCTGCTTAAGCATGGGGATTTCTAGAACCAGTAACACCTGTCTGTAAATTTTGACCAACCTGCAAAACAAGGAGCTCCTTAGCAGCCCCACAGTAACTCTACACATTAGGAGTTCTTATAATACTTGGTCCGTAGGGTATATGTACGTATTGCTGCATGGCCTTGTGGTCTCCGCTTCCTGTGTATTCTTACGATGACACTATTATTAGCGAGCTTTCTATAAAGGAGAGGCCTGTGCACATGCCAGTGGTGTCAGGTTTGTTCTGAAATGACAGGGCATGTTAACAAGCAATCTTGAATAATGCAAAGTGATAGAAAATGTTATTTCTAGGGTGTGGTCAGTCCAAGGTTGTAAACGTAACTCGGTACACTTCTGGTTTGTGCAATTCTTTCCACTGTATTTGTGTGTTCTTGCTTCATAGAAAGCTCCCTAATTGAGCATTTTATTCCTGTATATTTTAATGGCTTTTATTTAGTGCAAAAGGGAATACATAACCTGAAACTGTTTGATACGCTATTTAACCCCTGGCATTCAGCATTTGCATTGTAACTTGTTAAATGAGTGCTACACAACTTTCTTTTTCCTGATCCTCTGCGGGATTAAGTCAAAACAACTTTCTCTGGTGCCTCTCCTTTTGGAATATGTGCCTTTTTACATTTGGCTACCATAGGTCACTTTCTGTCCCAGTGTCTCATTCCTCTTCAGAGTGCTCTTTGCCAAAGACATCAAACTACTTCTCCCACTGGAAGTCTGGACGAGGGTTGGAGCACAAAATTCAACCTTCAGGTAGTTTTTGGTCTCTTGGAAGTTTAATGAACAACAACTGGGTTATTTCATTGGCCATTTTAACCCTTCTGAAGCACACATCGCTTTCATATTCTGAACCAAAATATGCAATTTAAAATCTTAAGAGGTGCTTTTCCAAATACTTGGTGCATGCAGCTTTCAAATCCCCAGCCCTCTGCTCAGATGACCTGTGCTGTGGCCTCTCTAGCTGGCTGGAACTGGAGCTGTTCTTGAAAGTCCTGTACGGGGACTTTGCACCTTGAATACAGTAGTTGCTGACTGCTGAGCAGACAGTGTTCAAAGAAGCTAGAAGCAGCAGTATTACTTCTTGTCCAGTGGAAAGCTGCAAAATAACACTAGTCACAAAGCATTTAAAAATGGTTAATTTCATGATGTTGGAAGAAACCACCAGGTGTCTTGGCAGGTAGAAAAAAGGACCTTTGCCTCTCTTCCTCTACAGAGGGCTCAAATCAAGATGGCACGCAGCAGTGTACGGCACCAGCCAGCCTCTTAACGCAACCTGAAATGAACTAGTCCATGAACTTGGTGCTGATGTTTGAGCTGCTGGGCTGTGCTGTGTTGTGTGCTGTACGTAAACGAGGTAGGCTAATGCCAGCTGGCTGACAGAGCCAGAGCCAGCTGTGCCTGCACCTTCTGCAGTGTAAACACAACCCAGGAAAAAGCAGGGGAGGTAGCCTCGTGTACTGCTGAGGTGGTGGTCTCCTTGGGCTTTGTGTGAGGAAAGTAATTTAGCATCAGTAATGGAGCAATCACAGACAGGTGAAGGAGCAAATAGGCATTGCTTAGGGCAAGCTGTTCCAGCTGCTTTGCAGCTGTTTCATTCTGGTAGCTCCAGAGAGATCCTTTGAGGTGATGGGAGGATGGAAGGGAGATACTCCCTATCCTCTGTATTGGAAACCTGTAATGCCAAGTTTCTGGCAGCATCTCTCCAGCTGTTGATGTGAACTGGCGGCTCTGATGGTGGCCCTGCAGATGTTCCTTCAGTCCTGTGCCAGTTGGAGTTGGGAGTCTCTTGTGGGAAAGGGCACTAGTTGTTAGCCAGTGTGAATTAGGATTAAAGGTGGGCAAATAGCACCGTGAATTCAGCTGACAGTTCTGGTGTAAAGCAATGCTGCTCGTTAGGAATACTCTAGTATTAAATCTCCTGCTGGTACCAATGCACAGAGACAGGTCCCCACCAGTGTGAGAGGGTCGTGTAAGCTTTCATCCCAGCTGGTGAAACTCATCAGGAGAGGCTTCTGCTGGCGAGTTAAGTTACCTGTGAGGACTTTTCATCATTTTTTGCCCTCAAATATGTCCATCTTACAATCAGAAAAGTTGTGTTTTGGCTTCATCCCCAAGGGGTAGGGGGAAACATGTATAATTCACGATATTAGGAAGAAAAAAGTTGTTTAATTACTTCTCAGTTGACTGCTATCTTATTGTAGTTGATACATACAATATAATAGCACTGTATTTTAAACGTTTAGTTTTTTACATTCTCTTCAACTATCTTTTTAAATGCGATAAAATCATTTTAGCTTTTGAAAGTTTAAATGGTTTGGTCTTGTTTAGGTGAAGACCCTCTCTTTCTTTTTTTAAATGGGTCAAGCATTAGATACATCAACTGGTTGCATTCTGATTAGAAGGGTCCACAAAGATAACTGCATAAGATAGAATATTCACTTAAATTTTGTTTCTTAAACTATCAATGTGAATGTCATAATTATATATATTTTGTGGAAAACGGGAAATTATTTCTCCTAAGTATAAGTTATTGTGCAAAATATGGTATCGTTAAAGAAAATGATAGTTTAAGTTTTTAGTTTTAGAAATCTTAAAGATATAAAAGTGTATTGCATATGCATAAACAAATTTCATTTGTTCTATTTAATTTTTATGTAGTTGTGTAAAGTGCTAGGTAACTTCTTTTTTCGCTTATCCATTAAAACAACCTTGTTACTTGAATATTCGTGTTTAACTGGTTTGAAACAGTGATCAATTTTTGTAATATCTTATAACTAAGGGAAAAAATACATGCCTCAGTTGTGCTTAACAATATAGCAACAATGTACAATCAGATGCGTAAGATCATAGTAGCCATAACTGGTAGTGCAACCACAATGGTTGTGTCTTGATATATTTAATTCCAATGGGGATAATGAATTCTTAATATATTTTTACAAGTTTGCAACCAGGAAGACCCCATAAATATCCACTAGAACACTTTTTTAATAGTTAATCTAAGAGTAAAACTCTTACTCTCTTAAAGCAATGTCCTAAAAAACATTTTTCTTTCCTGTACAAATGCATCTGAAACATTATGTATTAAAATATGCTCATTGTCACTTTAAATTTCAGTTTTTATTCTCTAAATCGCTAATATGCTGTTGGTATTCTTGCACACCAAATATGAGCCACACAGTGCATTACACTAACTTGATCACTGGATTTGTGAACATAAATTTCCAAGTCAATGAAGCGCAAAAATATTGCAGGAGATTTTTCTGAAAGTGTTTTTCTCAAATCTGTATAAAATTATGCATAGCCCATTCAACGATGAGTGGCCTGATATTTACTCTTTAAAAAAAAAAAATATTTTTATTAGCTCCAGCTTGTCTTCAGCAAGTCAAAATCTAGTGATCTTGTGCAATGCCCCTAAAACAAATACTTTCTGCCACTCCCTGGATTAATGCAGCTTTTCCTGTTGATAGTAAAGCACAATTGCAGTGAAAGTTACAGTTCAGAAGATGGAAGGTCAGTATAGTCTATGCATGTTGTATAATAATGAGTGTTTACATTCATATTCTCCTAAAATAAAATTTATACTGGAGTGTATAGTATTCCATTATGTAGATTTTATCAATTTTGTTAACTGCTTATAGATTGCTTAAAAGAAGTTTTTTCAAGATTTTAAAAGATGTATAAGGTTAAGTTTGCAGATATAATGGAAATGCTGTATAGCTTTTGAAGTGATAAAATACTGGTTGGGATTTTAAAGAAAGTATGTTGTAATAATGCTGTTGTAAGTAATATTTTAAATGTCTTTTTTGCCTGTTTTCTATTATTCAGCACACTTACTGTGATGAATGTTCATAGCATTATAAAATCGCTTAGCCACTGAAAAGTAACATTTGGTTTTGAATTATTTTACTGTATGAGGAATTATAGTGGGGTAAATTCCTTTGTGAAATTCTACATAATTCATTTTTCTATGATTTCCAATGTTTGCTGACATCAAATAAAAATTTTTCAAGCCATTGATGTAATAAAAAATGTAGTAAAATCTTATTGATGTAAAATGTGGTTCTGATATGTAATTGATCCCCTTACCTTTCCAGTTTTGGTCAGGAGAACCAGCTGGGGTTTGCCCCTTTCTGTATTGCATCGTCTGTGCATAGGTGCCGTTGGAACACAGGTTAACCGCTGCTGGAGTCAGCGGGCAGAGTCCTGGTCTTGTGAAAACTCAAGCAGCCTTTAGTACGGTGCTAGCAGCTGGAGCTGCCTGGTGCAATTCCTGCCAGCGACCCTGGACAGACTGCCGCTCCATTTTTGATGGTGCGGTATATTCCTTCCCCTGGCTGTGCTGCCACATGCTCTGCGGTCCCGCCGGCACGGGCATCGCCCTCAGCCAACGGGCAGCGCCGTTGTGAAACAGCTTTCCTGTTTGGGAAGCAGTGGGACTGGGATGCTGGCTGGTCCTGAGGGGGTAGAGATAGAGTCTAGCTCGTAGGATGGAGACTAGCTGACAGTGTCATCGCTGTTATAATGAGGACCTGAGGAATAAACTGCTGTCTGCTGCATGCAAAGAGCTAGCGCTTGGCTGGTCCGGTTAACAAGATTGTCATCATTGTCCTGCAACGAAAGAAATGCATTTAAAATATACAGGAAAAGGCAGCTCTCACCTTTGAAGCTTAGCAGTGTCTAGATGTTCCTGTCACAGATGCTCAAAATGGCAGGAAATTTTGCACTGGGGTTGAACCCTGGGATTTTCCAGAAGGTAGTATTTTCTGTCTTTACGTGCTGAGTGCAACTAAGCACTAAGTGCAGAAGCACGGACAAGGTATTATAGGGCAGTTTGGGGAGAAACTGCTCTGTGCTGTCTCGTTACATTGAACAGGTAGGGTACCAGCAGTGCTTTGTGAGTCTGGGTGTTACCACAGGATGAAGGACAAGGAGTTTTCTGCTTTGCTTGCCAGTGTTAAGTGCAGCAGAACTAATACAGCAAGATACTGTGGTGGTTTCCAATGTCACAGTGTACGGAAGGCAGGAATTAGTCATGTCTTTCTGTATTGTAAAGCAAGGGATGTGGGGAGGGAGACAGGCTTGGGGTTTTGGAAGTGCAGACAGCATTTTTAAGAGTTGAGGTGTTTCATTACTGGAAAACATCTTTGTAGTTGTTCTGGTGGTGGAGAATACGGTACCAGTATTGTAAGGTAGTGATCCGCTTTTTTAGCCGAGTCGTTTGACTCGAAGGTCCTTCAGCCCTTAACCTGCAAC